GATCTGAATTGCCCATTTGTTTGGTTTCCACTGGGCTTAGAGCCTCCTCTGCCACCCGCTGCTGCTGTTTCTTCAGCAGTGGCAAAATAGTAGTACATTTGGGGAAGGAAGAGAAATGGATGGAATGAGAAGATCTGGTCTTTAACTAAAAGCAGCCAGTTGCTCAAAAGAGGTCATTCTTTCCCTTCCCCATATCACTTTGTAGTGTCACTCTTCTTCCAGAATTTAATCTTTCTTACTTGCTGGCAGAAGTGCTTGCCAGAAGACTTTCTTCCCAGGAGGCCTCCAGCTGTCTCTAGAAGAAGGGGGTGCCAGAGCAGATTATGCCACGTGAAAACATTTGTACCTTTGGCATTGTGCAAAGGCAGTGCAGCACTCTTAGGAAATACTGTAACTGGATGAGAAGACTGCTACAATGCCCTGTCCTCATTAACCATTATTATTTCCAATTTTCTGCCATTCTCAAGGTCTTAGAACCAAATTAGGCAATCCGCGTTTGGCTCGATCCACATTTGGCAAATAAGCTTGTTTTTGACATGTAATTGGTCGACTGGAAGACAAGGGCCAAAAACTTCTTGCAGTTGCAGAGCACCAACTGAAAAATGTGTAACCAATGCGTGCAATTGTTCCAGCCATCTGTCAAGTGGTCAGATGTATCCAGGCCACACACTTGGTTGTGCACCCTGTTGCACACACTGTCACAGGACAGACAACCAGAAAATTGAAACAACCGCTTGCGTGAGTCCCCTTTCCCCTTTGGTATTTCGCAATAAGATTGAATGGTCCATATGGCTCTGTTTGCATTTCTGATATCTCAGACATCCAGTGCTGAAAGACTCGCCTATCTGGAAAAGGACTGTTGTAAGAGGAGGAAATAAACATTTGCCTTAACATTGAATCTGATTCCCAAGCCATAGGGGGAGATTGAAATGAGCATGTGCAGGGTCTTTGGGGCCCATCTTGAAGGGGACACTCAGGCAAGAGGTAAGATCTCTTTTGGGAACACATTTTCTCTGGGGGAGGTATATTTTCTACCTTCCCTTTGTTCTCACTAACTGCTTGAGCCGAGGGGGGGGGTAGATTTAAATGAGCATGATCAGAAGTGCTTTTTACTCCAATCTGGTAAATAGGAAAGCCAAACAGCATTGCATACGCCTGAGGCACCAGGAAAACCTTAGGGGGCGGACAATACCTCAGCGCTATTAGGGGGCAAGCCGGGTGGACAGGGCTTGTCAGCCTTGGAAGGCAGCCCATCTAGGAGAAGGAAAACTCCAATTTCAAACCTCCACTGCCTTGTGGCTATATCCATCAATGGAAAATGCTTCAGGAGATAACCTCGAGGCAAAACCGCGGGTGGACAGGGCTTGTCAGCCTTGGAAGGCAGCCCATCTAGGAGAAGGAAAACTCCAATTTCAAACCTCCACTGCCTTGTGGCTATATCCATCAATGGAAAAGTCTTCAGGAGATAACCTCGAGGCAAAATCGGGAGCCGGAGTCCCAGAGGCAGTTCGTGTCGTTCTGTCAACTCCTGCAACATCACTGGAACTAGTTGCATTGGCTCTTGCCTTTCCATTGGAACATTTCAGTGATGTGGACAGGGGGGATTTGCTGCTTGGGTAACAGCCTGTCCTCCATATTACTTTACCCAGGCTTTGTGCTCTGGAGAGGACACTCCAGTTTCGCATACAGAGTCAAAACAGCACGGGAAGTAGCAGTTACCAGTTATACGTCTTTGCTCAATTGGTGTAGAGCATGACACCAGGGGCTACTTCTGACGGTGGGAGAGGTCATTGCACCTCACTAGGTAGATACCACCC